AGAGATCACAGCATGAATAAATTCTGCATAAATCTGATGGGGAGTGAAATAATCAACTCTTCACAGCAGTGAGGCTCCGGAAGTGAAGGTGTGCCTGGGAGATACTATCTGAGGGCAAGGGCGCTCAGCTGAGGAGTGTCGTGTTTCCCTCCCCTGGGCGCATGAATGAATCAGCCCGGCGACGAGGATGCCTTCAGAGTCCACTGGTTGAATCCGGTCCTTTACTACTCTCTTCCGTCCTAACCAGGTTTCTGAAATCTAGGGCCCAGTTAATGCGAGTTGCTAAGTTTCACTCAGAACTGGCTTGGAATTCAGTGAAACAGGAAAGATAGAGGTGAGGTCCCGTAGGTAGGTACATAATGGTGACAGGTTACCCAGAGCAGACAATAAAGCAAGATACAGACAGAGGTCCCCAATCCTAATTTGCATGATGATTGGTTGATTAATTAGCTTTAGGTAGCTGCTCCTCTGTGGAACTCAAAACAATTGATTTCAGAGCTTGTCTGGGTGAAAGGATAGAGGGCCAGAGATAGCTTTCAAGGTCTCATGTTGGCATTTCTCCCATCCACTGGCCTCCGGCTGGCCACCCCCTGGTGGGCCAGGATCCTCCCGGGGTGGCCTTTGTCTGCTGGACACCTGCATGTTTGTACAGTGCCTCAGACCCTCTGGGTTTTGTTATGCAAAGCTGGCTTATCTGACAGATTAAACTGTGCTCCAGTGTTAACAAATGCAAAGGATGTGCGACCCCCTCCCCAGCAGCAGCCCTGAGATTCTACTGCAGCTTTCTGAAGACAACTGACCACACTTCACAGATGTAACTATGGCCCTAGGCGGTTTGCTCAATGGATAGAGCATCGGCCTGTGGACCAATGGGTCCCCAGTTAGATTGCGGTCAAGGGCACGTACTTTGGTTGCAGCCTGGGCCCTGGTCCATGCTCGTGCAAGAGACAACCAATCGATGTGTTTCTCTCACATCTATATTTCTCTCTGACTTTCCCTCTCTCTTCCACTCTCCCTAAAAAGCTATGGAAAAATATCATCCTATGAGGATTAAAAAAAGAAGAAGAAGAAAAAGATGGAATTGCGGTGATGGAGTGTCTAAGGCAGTGGTTGGCAAACCGAGGCTCTAGAGCCACACTCGACTCTGGCCTCTTGATGTGGCTCTTCCACAAAATACCACGTGCAGGCACGTACGTACGTACAGGCAATTGAAACTTCGTGGCCCATGTGCAGGAGTTTGTTTTCGGCTCTCCAAAGAAATTTCAATCATTGTACTGTTGGTATTTGGTTCTGTTGACTAATGAGTTTGCCGAACACTGGTCTAGGGCTTTGGTGAGATTTTGAGTCAAATAGCCCTTAGCACCCATTGACTCCATTCTATAATAATAAACTCCTGGGTATCATGCCCAACCTAGTCACACATTAGAACCAGGTTTTTATACAAATAGACACACACGACTATAAGTCAGGGATTTCACTAAGCCCTAAGTTCCTTGAGGCTGCCGGACTGCAGCAGAAGAGATGAGGGCAACGGTCTTACTCTTGTTCCAGTGCTGGACTGCACTTTGAGAAACAAGATGCTGTTTACGAAAATAGGTCCCTCAGTACTGCGGAAGAATTGTAGATAAACCAGCTGCCACATGAGATGCACCAAAGACTTACGAATCTGGGTACACCAGGCAGCAAAGAGGTGTGTGATCCCAGAGGTGGGAGAGCATCTTTCCAACCAGATCAGGAAGGAAGGCTTCATGGGAGAAGCAGCATTTGAGCTGAAACTTGAAGGTGTAACATTTGGCATGTGGCCATGACTCGGGCTGGGGAATAAGGGAGACAGGATGACAAGAAGAAGGAACATGTCCACCAACAACAGACACAAGAAGTGGCGGTCTCGCCACAGAAAACCCAGAATTCTTGAGAACGCAGGTGCATGGCGGGGGGCCGCATAACGGAAAATAGAGAGGAAAGCTCTGTGCCAGGGCCACAAAGCCTTCGGGGTCAAAGCAAGGTGTCTTCGGGTTTGTAGGCAGTGGACCACTGTATAATGCAGAGCCCGACTGTCCCCTACTCAAAGCGGCACTTTAGAACACGTGATCTGGCAGCCATGCAGGAAAGATTACAAGGACAAAAACTTAGGGCTGGGGGGGTGGGGAACGAGGGTGTGTGCTCTGAAGATCCGAATTAGGCAGTGGCCATGGGCAGAGGGGAGGAGAGAGACCATCAGAGAACAGTTGTAGGTAGAAGTTATTGAAGCTTGCTGAAACCGGTTTGGCTCAGTGGATAGAGCATTGGCCTGCGAACTCAAGGGTCCTGGGTTCGATTCCAGTCAAGGGCATGTACCTTGGTTACGGGAACATCCCCAGTAGGGGGTGTGCAAGAGGCGGCTGATTGATGTTTCTCTCTCATTGATGTTTTTGACTTTCTATCCCTCTCCCTTCCTCTCTGTAAAAAAAACAATAAAATATATTGTATACATGCATAGAAGTACAACCAATGGACACAAAACTCTGGGGAGGAAGGGGGGCAATGTTAAAATATGTACACAGATAATAATTTAATAATTAAAAAAAAGAAGTTACTGAAGCTTGATAACAAGCATGGATCAAACATGGGTAACAAGGAGCAAGGGAGAATGGTGATTGGTGGGTATGAAGATTCTGATTTCTGATTTGGACATGTTTCGAGGACATGGCAGACTTTCCAGATAAAGACATCCATCAGGCCATTGGAAATTCCATGTGCGCACTATCCAATCTACACTCTGCAGTTATCCAAAGACCTGTTAAAATGAACCGGCAGCTCAGAATCTCAGCCCGCTATCGATGTGCTCTTTAATGCAAAATAGTAGTCTTCTTTGGAACCAGCCTCAGTTATAGCATCTTCTGTAGACGATTGAGGCCCATCTGTGCATTGAAAAGGGAATGTGTTTTCATTCTGGCATCATCCTGCCCCATAGCGGCTTGATCTGCTTGCTGAGTGAAGGATGCAGCCCCATTTTGCTGTAAGGAACCCCGCACTTTGCTCTGCAGACTGGGGTTTTGAATCCTGGTTCTGCTGCATTTTATTTCTCTCAGGCTTTTCCACTGTAGCCCCTCGAAGGCTCTCTTTACCAGCGGCCTGTTTAACGTGAAAAGGAGAGAGACAGTGGTGGGGCCAGCAGCGCCCACTGAGTCCATGTTCACCTTTTTCAAGCTTATCACTGTCAGTTGGCCACTCCTCTCAGATGTCCCCACCGAAAAGTCAGATCGGTATGAGAAATGCCCACAACTCTCTTAAGTTGCCACAACGGTCAAGTCACTGGGAAGTACAGCGATGAAGAAGGCTTAGTCTTTGTCTTCCAGGAGCTTACACTGAGGCTGATGAGGGCGATAAAAAATGGCCAGGCAGGACAAGGGCAGTAAGCAGTGGGAACACAGCAGGCAGGAGAAGAACGTTTTCTGGAGTTGATGTAAGGGGTGCGGGCAGGTGGGCACCCTGGATGAGGGCGCACCCTGAAAGAAAGTGAGAAAGACCTCCAGAATGTCTTTGGAAGCTAACGGGAGATGCAGCGGGGCTGCAGGTGGATGCCGGAAAGAAACACCAATTGGTTGCCTTCCTGTATGCCACTGACTGGGGATCGAACCCGCAGGATGACACTCCAGTCAGCTGAGCCACCCGCCGGGCACAAATGCCTACTTTTGAAAGGGGAAAGAATGCCACGGAGCTTCTGGACGCTGACTCTGCTGCAGGGTCGAGTAACCGGTGCAGTGGCTTACGCGGGAAGAGTGGTTACAGGAATGAAAATGAGGTCAGATGCCCAAGACTTTGTCCAGAGAGGAAGACTGAGGAAGACAAAAGTCTCCGAGGACTCTCTGGCCGGGAGAATTAGGACACTGGTGCAGATGGTTAAAAGTCAGAAGGTGCTGGCTATAGCGGTGTCTGAGCATCTCAGTGAGGTGATTCAGCTGGGCAGCTGGGGGCATGAGATTGCCTGCCCCAAATGATCACACCCAGAGGCACAGATCTGGTAATCAGAAGGATGACGCACAGGAATGGAAGAGAAAGGGGATGGAATCCAGGGCAGTGATGGAGGAGCCCAGGGAAGAGGACCTGCTGAGGACGACAGGAGCCCCCAGCCGGCGAAAGGTGGGTGCTGGGACTGTGCCATTGGGCCACGGCCTTTCAGGTTGACCTGGATGTGGACAGTAGACTTCCTCTCTCCTCCAGCCTCCTTTTCGCAGGTGGGGAACAAGGCCTGGCAGATGCTCTCATTAGCTAAGATGAGCACAGGCCGGCAGGCTCTAGGAACTTTCTGCTGGCTACTTGCTTCATGGCCCACACTGTTACGTCCAACCCCCCCAAACAAACTATTCATACAAAAAAAAAAATTCAGCCCATTGAGACCCAGAATACTTGAAATTTCAACCTGGGAGGCTGGAGGGGACGCAGCAGGTATTTTTTGCCTTCAGCCAGAGGGAAGCCAGGTCCTGGGCGGGGCGGGGAGGGCCCGCGGGACCCGCGCGTGTGCTCCGGGAGCGCGCGCTGAGCTGGCCCGCCCATCCCCGCCCTGGTGCGCGTCCCCACCCCGATGCGCGCCCCCGCACCGCACACCACCCGCACGTCCCCACTCCCACATCCCCCGGCGCCCTCCGCAAGCCCCCGCCCGCAGCCTCCGTCCTGATTGCGCGCCCCCGGCCCCGCGCTCCCGCCCTCCCCGTACCCCGCCTCCGGGGCGCGCCCCAGCCCGTAGCCCCCGCCCTGTTTGCGCCCTTGTGCCACGGCGGCGGCGCGCACCGGGGAGCACCGGGCGGCGGAGCAGCCGAGCCGCTGCGGGACCGCGCCGGGCCGGGGGCGCGCGCGGGGGGCCGCGGGGGCGCGGGCGCGAGGCCGCCCCGCGGGGCCGCGCGGAGGAGGCGCCGGAGGAGGAGCGCTGCCCGCCGGTGCCGCCGCCGCCGCGCTGTGCGGGTCCGGGATCGCTGGAGCGGCCGAGCCGCGGCCTGAGACAAAGAGGCGGGCGCGGCGCGATGGCGGACCGCAGCCTGGAGGGCATGGCGCTGCCGCTGGAGGTGCGGGCGCGGCTGGCGGAGCTGGAGCTGGAGCTGTCGGAAGGTAACAGGCCCGGCCGGGCCGCGCCGCGCTGCCGCCGGGAGGCCGCTGCGGGGCGGGCGGGGAGGCGGACGGGCGGGCGCGTGGTCTCGGGGCGCTGGGTCCCCGCGGTGCGGGTCGCGGCCCCCACCCGGGCCGCTGCGTGTGGCCGCGGGGCTGGCGCTGCGGCGGGGCCCGGGGCGCGGGCTGGAGGGCCGGCCTGGCGGCCCGTGTCCTTGTGCGCGTCCGCGCGCTGCCCCCGCGGCCCAGGCTGGGGACGCCTCGCGCCGCCCGGCCTGCGGTGGGTGCCCCGGCCTGGTTCTGATGCGAAACTTGCCGCTGGACTTGGGGGTTTGAACCCCGAGATGTGCCATCCATCCATCCATCCATCCCGGTTTTACTACGGCCCGGCCCGGGGAAGGCTGTGCTACTATTGTTCGTGTGTGTGTGTGTGTGTTGCGATGCGAAAAGGGTGGGAGACTCGCTAACCTCCTACCTCTCAGGCCAGGTTCCCCGCCCGGCGCGCCTCCCTCGGGTTTGGAGTCGGTGACAGATCCTCCGCCGTGATTTCACGGGGTGTTATGGACGGCTTCGTATGTGCTCTTAATGACGGGATCATGTGCTCAACTGTCATAAGTTTAGATCGGGCTTTGCTATGCCTTAAAAAAAAAAAAAAAGCCACTGAAGTTCCAGAATGTTCATGTTTAAATATCTGTTGGGTATTCACCCTGGGAAGGCCACTAACGTGCCGGGGTGGGGTGGGGAGGGGCCGGCTGTCTCGGATTTATATTTGGAGCAGTGCAGCGTGGTGAACTTTGTGTGTGTGTGTGTGTGTGTGTGTGTGTGTGTGTAACGGTTTTGTGAGGGCCGGCAGCCAGAAAGTAAATCCATTCGTGCCAATTTCATCAGCAGGGAGGAGCCGATGTTGACTTTATGCTTTCCTCTTTAACACTTGCAGGGCGCAGGAGGGAATAAAGGAGGGGGTTGTGGCATATAGTGTTAGCCGTCTTCCCGGTTGCCCACGGACTATGTCTCTGTGTCACATCTGGGGTTTTGCAGGGCATCCCAGGGATCTGTCATGTTAAACAGCCCCGTAGCAGAAGGAGGCTGCTTCCTGGACTCAGTGCTGAGCAGACACGGTTGGAGATTGAAGGCGTCACTAGTACCCCAGAGGGCCCAGGGGTAGGCCACACAGAGTGGGCCCACAGGGGCACACGGTTGAGATGTACAGCGATGGGTAAGGTGTGTGCCGGGGACCGTGCTTGAGGGGCTGAAGTCTGTATCAGAGAACATTTGCCAGAGTTATTTGATTGTGTCGATGCTCACTCCCATGGGTTTTCTCCCTCACTCGCCAGCCCCTCAGAGCTCTGGTCTCCCGTCCTCACCGCTGTTGTGTGATTCACAGCACCCATCACTCATGCATCATCCCCAACATAGCAGTTCTGCTCAGTCTGCATCCTGGGAAGATCAAGGGTCAGCACCCTATCTCTGTTAGCAAAGGGGAGCGAGCCCCTGAACTCCACAGCACGGCTCCCCTCCCGCTGTCAGCCTGAAAATAAGCTCATACTTGCCTCTCTGAATCTGGGACAGCATTCCGAATGGGCGTCCTGGCCCCCTCCTGGTGCCGGGAGCGGTCCCTTACTGTCCCTTATGAACGTGTACATGGGGCGCACTCACCTGCTAGAATGACACTCACCTGCCACCAGCTGTCGCACTCGGAGATGGAGGAATATCTTCCTGCCGCCCAGAGGATGGCAAAGCCACTTTAGAGCAACGGGCGCGCTGAACCCGGTTCTCTGAACAGGTTTTATGAAAGGGCTTAATGAATTTCTCATTGAGCGTCTGGGCAGAGAAAGGGATGTGTGTGTCTGCATTCAGGAAGCGCATTATTGTTTTTCTTTCTGCGTACACCTTGCTAGGCCTGGCCTGAAGCATGAAAGAATCAGGGGTCTGTGGCATCGGCTGATGTAGCCTCGGCCCCTCTGTGCCACCCCTGCCCCCTTGTCTTGCTTTGTCTCCGCTGAGATGATCGCTGAGATGATAGAGTTGCTCTTTAAGGTCATTGGGAATTTCAGGTCTTAGAAGCGCCTAAGTGGTTTTGCCGGACTAAATGAGATGAACCAATTTGTTTCCCAGTGTTGCTTAGGAGAAACCAACGAGTGGAAGGATCGGAAATCTGTATCACTTTACGTTTGGGAACTTAACAAGTGCCCCAGCATACCCACGCCCAAAGTGAAAAGTTAGAACAAGCCTTAATGCTGAATTACTTAAGTCTATTGCTTTCACATTTTCTCCTCAACCAGGACTCATGGGGGGGGGGAGGATTCTTTAAATTAGGTTTCATGGAAATCTCGGAAAATACTGTGGAAACATGTGGAATTTTCAGCACTCGGTTCCTACAGTGGAGGATGGAAAAAACAGTTCCGTTTTAAGCACTTCACCTCTCGGTTGAAAAAGCAGAGTGGACTGTATTCTCTCAAAGTTCTTAAGTGGCCTGTGGGCGGTGAATGGCTGCTCATTTTTGGTTGCCCTGTCTGCTGGGTGTTGTTATAGATGCTAATACTATTTTATCTTTGGGGGCCGGTGCCTGCAGAACTCAGGGTTTTGCTCTCCTGCTCTGCTGGTTGCCTCCTTGTTCAGCTCTGCTGTTACCGCCCAGTGCTCCCCTCGCTGGGGGAAGCCAGCTCCTCTCCCTTCGAACCTCCTCGTCAGCAACGAACTGCAGCTTTCCAGGGAGATGTGGCAGCAGCCCCTCCCGTGGGCGTTGCTGTGGGGCCAGGGATTGCGGGTCTGCTCAAATACTTGGGACTGAATGTGAGATGGAGAGGAAGCCGGCCAGTGCAGGATGCCAGGTGGAGTGGCCGACACCCCTTTTCCTAGATCATTCTTTCTTTCCTTCTTTTGGCGTTTGGGATCTTACATTTTCCTTCTTGGCTTTAAGAGGTTCCCCCCCCCCCCCAAAATAAGTTCATTAATAAGTGAATAAACATTTGGCTTAAGGGATAACTTTAAATGGGAATACCACAGTAGAGAGGAAACAGAACTTCTCAGAGACAGACTTGTCTTTAAAACACTCCTTTGCTGGTTGACATTGAGCAGTCAGTGTCTCTGTGAACTGAGGATGCTGGTTTCTGGGGCTCTGCATGTCCCGGGCTGGCAGCCGCAGGAGGCTCTCGCCCCGTTCTTCCAGGAGCGGCTGGGATCCTCTGCATGGACCTAGGGGCAGGGCCTTGTGACACACACAGCCTGCGAAAAACTTGTTGTTTGCACAAGAGACGCCTTTACAAAAATACATGGCACGTCAAACCCTTTGTGGCTTTTTAGTTGTTAGTATAACTGCTCACCTCCTACCTTCTGCTTATGGGCGTTACTCAGCTCATGCTCTGCTTTGCTGATTAATATGCCACATTACTTTAACTGTTCATTTTATTCCACCAGAGAGTCCAACTTGAACATTTTCTTAGTCAGTACGAATCTGCTTGAGGAAGGAGGTGAATTCTAACTTAAATGTCAGGTTTTTGTGCTGGTCAAGGAACCAATAATTAAAAAAAAAAAAAAAAAAAAAGAAAAAGCAGATGAGCAGCGCACAAGCAGCGTGCACATTCCTGTCGCCAAAGCGTAAGATCTTCAGGAGATGGCATTTGGAAGGTGTGGGGACTCAGGGCAGGGGTGGGGGACGTGGAAGACTTGGGAAGTTGTCTGGTTTGGCCCTGCCAAGGCGTTAGGGCTGAGTTCATTTAACGTTTGACCAAATACAGGGGGCTAATTTTTAAGTTGACGATTTTGTATGGCCCTCAAATGATGTTATAAATATCCAAATGGCCCTTGGCAGGAAAAAGGTTCCTCACCCCCGATGGAGGGGAGGCATTTTCAGAGCTATTGAAAGATAACAGACACACTTAGCTCTAAACTTGAGTTCTGCCCCCCCCCCCCCCCCCCCACTTTCCAGCCCCTGCCCTAGAAGTTAAGGACTCTGTGGAAGCTTAAGGCGTAGGACCACCGTCCGAGATCAGTAAGCAAAGACCCAGCTGTCTCTAATGCCACCCAAACTTTGTGTATATTCTCCTCCTTGAAAGGAAACAGTTGATTCTGGAAAACAAGTGTGTAAAAAAATACCCCCCCCCCCCAAGAGCCTCATTGATAATTTGTTGTAAGTGGGCGAGGAAGAAGGGAAGAGGTCAGCAGAGGGAGGGGAATAGAAGCTGTGGGGCACCCTGAGCCACTCCAGCTGGAACCAGATCTTAGGATAGATACAAAATGTGTGTACTCCGTTTCATCCACCTCACCCATAGCCACAGGTATCACCGTGAATGCAGCGGAGTACCCGGCCTGATCCATGTAAAATATTGCTACCTGCCTTAAAAGTATTTATAAAACGAAAGCATTGATATGTGTGGGATTTGAAGTGGGTGGACTTGAATTCTACGAGTTTTTCAGAGTTATGGAAATCGTTCCATTTGAAAGTTCTTTTCTCTAAGAATTAATATAGGTGTCAGATTTAGCCAGGAAGCCAAGGAAAGTAAACACACACACACACACACACACACACACACACACACACACGTTAAGGCATAGATCTGTAACATTGCTCCCAATGCTTGCAAGATATTTGCAGTGCTGTGCTCAAGCTTAGATCTGAACTTTATGAGGTTAAAGCCTTAACAACAACTCTATTTTGTTTTAGACCGGGCCCACGGGTTTTATATTCTTGTTATGGTTTGAGGCTACAAGCTGTTGGATGCTATGAGTCACTTCTTGTCTTCCTCCTCCCAGCCTTCTTCAAATGGCTTGCCTCTTTTTTTAGAGCTGAGTTTTTAAAAAGCAGTGATTTAGGGGATGAGTAGTATAGCATTCTTCTGAATTGCAAAGAGAATGTACCGTATCGTCTCGGTTTTGATGTCATGTATGTGGCCTGACTCACCAGTCCAGCTCCTAGTCATATCAACAAGATCATTTCTAATTCTCCTGATAATTACTCAGGCACCTTAAAAAAAAGAAAAAAAAGAAAAAAGCAGGTTCTTGGT